TGTTCACCAGTCAGGGACAGCGTGAGCCCGCCCAGGGCGTTCACAGCGACCCTCTCCCCGTGGTGGTGTCTCCCTTCAGCTTCCCTGCGTCCCCACCTCTTCTCAATGAGCCCTGCGGGGGAAAGGCGCAGTTAGAGAGAGCTGAAATCCAAGACGCTTGCTGCCCCGCTAAGTTCTAGAGACCCTCAGCTGTTGGCGAGGGCCGACACAGAAGGTTCTAGAAGGGTGGCAGGGTTCTCAGGAGAGGGGCCGGGAGCCCGGGCACCTGGCTGACAAGTGCTGAGGCTGTTGGCGAGGGCCGACACAGAAGGTTCTAGAAGGGTGGCAGGGTTCTCAGGAGAGGGGCCGGGAGCCCGGGCACCTGGCTGGCAAGTGCTCAGACAGCTGCCCTGTGCGAGGGTCCCCAGCCGCTGCCGACAGCAGGACACAGGGGCCCATCCCTGGGCTTCCTCCTCGCCCTCTCGGGCGGCCCTCTGAGGACACCAGCCCTCATGTGTCTGTGCCAGTGGAGGAGAGGTAGAGGGGTGACCCCCACTGAGGGCGCAGGACGGGGTGGCAGAGAACGAGCCGCTCGGTGCCCTATGCCGCGGCCACATCTCCTGCCCGGGGGACATGGAGCTAAGCGAGGTGACCTTTGTAGGCCTCCGCGTCCCCAGGCTCACAATGCGCCTGTCCGCCTGCCCGCCCAACACTGTTCTCTGCCATCAAAGGCACAAAGAGGGGATTAGCATCCCCAAACAATTCCTCTCCCTCCCTCCCTCCCTCCCTCCCTCCCTCTCTCTCTCTTCCCCTCTCTGTCTCTCCCTCTCTCCCTCTGTCTCTCCCTCTCTCTGCAAAGCTGACACCGGGAGAGCAGGAAGAGGCCCTCCCACGTCGGGACAAACGGCCCCACCGTCTCTCCTCTGAAGACAGATGGACAGCTGTGCATGCAGAAACTGTTTCGCGGCAACCGGCCGCTCTGCACACAGCAGCCCAAGTGACCTTGCATCGACTTCTGCGTGAGCTTTCAGGGCACACAAAGAGAGAAACTGAATCTTTAGTTCTCTCGGGCAGAGGGAAGCTGAGAAAATGACCCTTAACCCTGGGCTCTGTAGGGGGCTAGGGTTCAAGAGAGGTCAAGAAGAATGGCCCTGGGGCCCCCTCCTCGGCCCCCTGGCGGGGCTGGGAACATGGGGAGGTGGAGAGGCCGCCACCAGGCCAGACCGCTTCCTCTCTGGAAGACAGGATTCTTCCACCCCTCACCCTCCGGGGGAGAATCTCAGGCCAGATATAAATGCGCCAAGCCCGATTGAAGGCAGAATGAGCCTCAAACTCTCTGACCTAGAAATCAGAAAGAAGAGTGGGAAAAATTAAATCACAAAAATCAGGGACGAGGCATGGAATCGGGGCGCCTGCTGGAGAGGCGCAATCAAGACCCCGGGCCACAGATTGCAATGGTTTTGATTAAAGAACAAATCGTCACAGTGAATCTCCCCGGCTCCTTGAGCCTGTCCTTCCTAAGGGAGGCGATTTTCCAAGGGCAGAGCGAAGACGGGAGGGAACAGAAGGGGAGGGGCCCTGCCTGCACCATCCGCCCCCTCCCCTGGAGTCCTTGTCTTAAGAGGAGCCGCCCTGGACCAGCCTCTGGCCCACAAGACCCAGGCCCTGCGCAGGTGTGCAGGAGCCGGGTGGTCACAGGCCGGGGATATTAACCCCAGGACCACAGTGAGACCGAGTGGCTCTGTGGTGTCCACTGACAGCCACTAGCTGTGGGACTTCAGGCAATTCTGGGCCTCTCTCAGCCTCAGTTTCCTTGACTGTATAACAGAGGAGCCAAAAGTGCCCCTGTGTGGGTTTTTGTGAGTATCAGACAACCTCCGGCTCTGTCAGTTGCTTCTCCAGCCCCAGGGAGTTGGGCAACAGCATCAAACGCAGAGGGTCCCAAGCCCTAGCAGAAGCTGCAGTGTGATGTCAGTTTGGGGGAGTCCCAGAAAGCTGAGGGCGTCCACAGTGCTCTGTACCCCCCTGGAGTTTGCAAGGAGCCAGGAGGGACCTGGTGAGGCAGGGCACCCTGTAAGCCATTCACTGACCAGGTCGCTGAATGTGAGCTGGGATGCAGCCACCGACAGGGGTCAGCGTTTCAAGATTTCTGCCTAAATGCATTTTAGGAACCTTTAGAGAAGGCAGCGCTAATTTGCAAATAGAATCTGAAAGCCCAAAATGTTGGTGAAATAGGACTGGATGGGCCCGTGTTGTGCTGCAGCTGGTTAAGCTGCTGTCTGCAGTGCCAGCATCCCACACGGGCACCAGTTCCAGTCCCGGCTGCTCCATTTCCCATCCAGCTCCCTGCTAATGCACCTGGGAAAGCAGCAAAAGGTGGCCCAAGTGTTTGAGCCCCTGCCACACACATGGGAGACCTGGAAGAAGCTCCTGGCTCCTGGCTTGGGTCTGGGCCAATCCTGGCCATTTCAGCTATTTGAACAGTGAATTAGAGGATGAAAGGCCTCTCTCTGTCCCTCCCTCTCTTTCTATAACTCTGCCTTTCAAGTCAATAAATAGGGGCTGGTGCTATGGCGTAGTGGGAAAGCAGCCACCTGCACTGTGCATCCCATATGGGTGCCGGTTCGAGACCCGGCTACTCCACTTCCAATCCAGCTCTCTGCTATGGCCTGAGAAAGCAGTAGAAGATGGCCCAAGTCCTTGGGCCCCTGCACCCATGTGGGAGACCCAGAAGAAGCTCCTGGCTCCTGGCTTCAGATGGGTGAAGCTCCGGCTATTGCAGCCAATTGGGGAGTGAACCAGCAGGTTGAAAACCTCATTCTCTGCCTCTCCTTCTCTCTGTGTAACTCTGACTTTCAAATAAATCAGTAAATCCTTTTTTAAAAAAATAAGTAAATAAATAAATCTTTTAAAAAGAAATAGGATTGGAGATTCCAGTAACTGCAGAACTAGAAAATTTCATGTTGATCCCTAGCTAAATGCTGGGGCAATTCATTAAATGACAGATTAGAGGCTGGCATTGTGGTGTAGCGTGTGTCCCTCGCAACCCATATTATGGGCACCAGTTCGAGACCAAGCTGTTCCACTTCCAATCCAGCTCCCTGCTAATGGGCCTGAGAAAGCAGCAGAGGATGGCCTAAGTGTTTGGGCCCCTGCACTCACGTGGGAGACCTGGATGAAGCTCCTGGCTCCTGGTTTTGGCCTGGCCCAGCTCCGGCCATTGAAGCCATTTGGGGAATGAACCAGTGGATGGAAGACTTCTCTCTCCCTCTCTCTCTGTGACTCTGGCTTTCAAATCTTTAAAAAAAAAAAGTTCTCTTGTTTTATTATCTTTCAGAATATGCAGGGCCGGCACCGTGTGGCTCACTTGGTTAATCATTCACCTGCAGTGCCAGCATCTCATATGGGTGCCGGGCTCTAGTCCCGGCTGCTCCTCTCCCAATCCAGCTCTCTGCTGTGGCCCGGGAGTGCAGTGGAGGATGGCCCAGGTGCTTGGGCCCCTGCACCTGCATAGGAGACCAGGAAGAAGCACCTGGCTCCTGGCTTCAGATCAGCACAGCTCTGGCCGTAGCAGCCATATGGGGAGTGAACCAATGGAAGGAAGACCTTTCTCTCTGTCTCTCTCTCTCACTGTCTAACTCTATCTGTTAAATAAAGAAAGAAAGAATATGCAGCATTTTGGGAGGCCAATATTTCTCTGGTACTAAAACCATGCAAAGTCATCACAAGAAAATTACAGACCAACATTTCTCTTTTTTGGAAGATTTATTTTATTTATTTCAAGGGAAAAGTTACAGAGAGAGGGAGAGACAGAGGGATCTTCCATATACTGGTTCACATCCCAAATGGCCTCAATGGCCAGGGATGGGCCAGGCCCAAGCCAGGTGCCTGGGACTCAGTCCAGGTCTCCCACGTGGGTGGCAGAGGCCAAGGAGCTGGGACACCTTCTGCTGGTTTCCCAGGCATATTAACAGGGAGCTGGATGAGAAGTGGAGCAGCTGGGACTAAGCGGTGCCCATATGGGATGCCGGCATGCTGGTGGTGGCTTCATACGCTGCTCCACAACACCGGCTTCCAGACCAGTATTTCTTAAGAATATGGCCACGGGGCTGGTGCTGTGGCGCAGCGGGTTAACGCCCTGGCCCAAAGCACCGGCATCCCACATGGGCCCGGTCCTAGTCCGGGTGCTCCACTTCTGATCCAGCTCTCTGCTGTGACCTGGGAAAGCAGCAGAAGATGGCCCAAGTCCTTGGGCCCCTGCACCCACATGGGAGACCCAGAAGAAGCTCCTGGCTCCTGGCTTCAGATCAGCGCAGCTATGGCCGTTGCGGCCAATTGGGGAGTGAACCAGCAGATGGAAGACCTCTCTCTCTCTCTCTGCCTCTCCTCTCTCTGTGTAACTCTGACTTTTGAATAAATAAATAAATCTTTTAAAAAAAGAATATGGCCACAAAAATCCTCAAAAAATACCAAATCCAGCAATACATAAAAGAAAAGATAAATTATATACATGTAGGATTGATCCTAGAAATCAAGGTTGGCTGGCCGGCGCCGTGGCTCAATAGGCTAATCCTCCACCTTGCGGCGCCGGCACACCGGGTTCTAGTCCCGGTCAGGGCGCCGGATTCTGTCCCGGTTGCCCCTCTTCCAGGCCAGCTCTCTGCTATGGCCAGGGAGTGCAGTGGAGGATGGCCCAGGTGCTTGGGCCCTGCACCCCATGGGAGACCAGGAAAAGCACCTGGATCCTGGCTCCTGCCATCGGATCAGTGCGGTGCGCCGGCTGCAGCGGCGGCCATTGGAGGGTGAACCAATGGCAAAGGAAGACCTTTCTCTCTGTCTCTCTCTCACTGTCCACTCTGCCTGTCAAAAAAGGAAAAAAAGCCAAAAACCAAACAAAAAAAATAAAAAAAAAAAGAACCGCAGGGTGGGGTTGACCTTCCCAAAATCAATTAATTATAATCAATAGAATATCAATAGAACTGTAATATCAATAGAATAAAAAAATCATGTAATCATCTCAATACATGTAGGGAAAGTATTAACAAAATTCAGCACTTTTTTTAGATTTTATTTATTTATTTGAGAGGAAGAGTTATAGACAGTGAGAGGGAGAGAGAGAGAGAGAGGTCTTCCATCCGCTGGTTCACTCCCCAATTGGCCACAATGGCCGGAGCTGCGCCAATCCGAAGCCAGGAGCCAGGAGCTTCTTCCAGGTCTCTCACACAGGCGCAGGGGCTCAAGGACTTGGGACATCTTCTACTGCTTTCCCGAGCCACAGCAGAGAGCTAGATTGGAAGAGAAATAGCCTGGACTCAAACCGGTGCCCATATGGGATGCTGGTGCAGCAGGTGGAGGATTAACCTACTGCATCACAGCGCTGGCCCCCAGCACTTTTTTATGATAGGCAAAAAAAAAACACTCAAACCAGGAACAAAGTTAACTCAATCTCAGAAGGAACTTGTACAAAAGCTCGCAACTAACATGGCTGTAAGTTACAAACAGCTGAACACTAGCCCTGCAGCTCCGGAAGAGGACACCAGGGCTGGCCCTGGGGTGCAGTGTGTTAAGCAGAACGCAAGTTCAAGTCCCGGCTGCTCCAGCTCAGAGCCTGTTACTACAGCTGTGTTAACAGAGCTGTGTGTGCATGTGTGTGTGTGTGTGTGTGTGTGTGTCTGGCAATGTCTTTCAAATAAAAAAATCTTTACTAAAAAAGTAAAATAATTCCATTCCCAACATTAAACAGAATCAAATATTTATAAATAAACAACAAAAAAATGGCAAACGTACACACTGCATATTATTAAATACAGTTGTAAAGACGAATTGTTAAAGATAGCTAAACAAGCAGAAAATGTCCTATATTCATAGATTATAATGCACCCAACACTGACCTACAGATTCGGTGCAATGCCTATCAGAATCTGACCTGATGTCTTTGAGAAATGAAAATTTAGAAGCTAATTTTCTTTTCGTTTTTAGAGTTTACAGAGAGAGAGAGAGAGAGAGAGAGGGAGAGGGAGAGGGAGAGAAAGAGTTCCTCCATCCGCTGATTCACTCGGCTGCAATGGCCAGGGCTGGGCTGAAGCCAGGAGTTTCATCCGGGTCTCCCATGTGGGAAGCAGGGGCCCAAATACTTAGGCCATCTTCCCCCGCTTTCCCAGGTGCATTGGCAGGGAGTTGGATCAGAAGTGGGGCAGCCGAGACTCGAACTGGCGCAAATGGGATGCTGGCTTTACCCACAACGCCACAACACGGGAAGTCATGTGGAATATCGAGGAACCCAAAATAGCAAAACAATCCTGGAAAAGAGAGTAACAAAAAGAGTCACACTTCCTGATTTCAAAACATACTGCAAAGGAATGTTAATGAAGACAAGCACACAGCCTACCCCACAATGGGACGGCACTGAGCCCATACATCTGTGGACAAGTGTTTCCCACAAAGGTGCCAAGGCTAATCCCTGGGAGGCAGTCTTTTTTTTTTTTTAATAATTATTCTATTTATTTGAAAGACAGAGTTACAGAGACAGGTAGAGCCAGACAGAGAGGTCTTCCATTCCACTGGTTCACTCCCCAGATGGCTGCAACGGCCAGAGCTGTGCCGATCTGAAGCCAGGAGCCGGGAGTTTCTTACAGATCTCCCACACGGGTGGAGGGGCCCAAGGACTTTGGCCATCTTCTATTGCTTTCGCAGGCCACAGCAGAGAGCTGGATCAGAAGAGGAGCAGCCGGGACTCGAACCGGCGCCCATATGGGATGCTGGTGTTACAGGCTGGGGTTTTAACCCACTGCGCCACAGTGCCAGCCCTGGGAGGCAGTCTTTTCAACAAATGGTGCTGGTCAGCTGGATATCCACATGCAGAAGAATGAAGTTGACCATACCTCACACCATATATAAAAACCAACTCAAAGTGGGTGAACGACCCAAACCCAAAGCTGTGGAATTCTTAAAAGACACCATGGAGGGAAATCTTCGTGGCCTGAGATTTTTACAAACCTGTTTTAATATGACACCAAAAGAACAAACAACAAAAGAAAAAAATTAATTGCATTTCATCAAAATTTAAAATTTTTGTGCCTCAAAGCATAACATCAAGAAAGTGAAAGATAATCTATAGAATGGGAGAAAAATGTGTGTAAATCATGTGCCTGATAAGGGACTTGTACTTAGAATGAAGAATTCTTACAAATTGATAGCAAAAGGTAATAACCAAATTCATAAGTGGGCTAAGGATCAGATCAACATTTCTCCAAGGAAGATGTACAAGAGGCCAATACATACATGAGAACGTGTGTAACACTCCTAACTATTAGGGAAATGCAGATCAATGATGGATCACTTCACATCCATGAAGATGGATAATCTAAAAAAAAAAAAAAGGAAAATGACCAGGTAGGTAGGTGAGGATGTGGAAAAAACCAATATTCTGCGTACTGCTGATGAGATTGCAAAATGGTGAAGCTGCTGTGGAAAACAATTGGGTAATGTCTCCAAAACTTAAACACGAAATTACTGCATGATCCAGTAATTCCACTTCTGGATATACACCCAAAAGAATTAAAAGCAGAGATTCCAACAGGTGTTTGCACACCCTTGTTCATAGTAGCACTGTTCATAGTAGCCGAAAGAAAGTCATCAAGGAGTCCATGATGTGTGAACAAGGAGCCAAAATGTGATGTAGACTACAGGATGGATGGATGGATGGATAGATAGGTAGGTAGGTAGGTAGGTAGATAGATAGATAGACAGATAGATGTAGGTAGGTAGATAGATACATAGATACATAGATACATAGATGTAGGTAGGTAGATAGGTAATAGAGTAGACAAAATGTGATACAGATAATAGAGGATAGATAGACATGTATAGGTGGATAGACTGATGGATTGATCAAGATAAGTATAGATGATAGAGAAAGTAGACAAAATGTGATACAGATGATAGAAAGATGATGATAATAGTTGGATAGACTGATAAAATACATAGACAGACAGACAGACGGATGGAGATCCATTCCTTGGAGAGAGTCCCTTTCTTTGACATTCACACTGGAATGAATATATATATATGATGGACTATTACTGAACCTTTTTAAAATTAATTAATTTATTTGAAAGGCATGGCCGGTACTGTGGCTCACTAGGCTAATCCTCCACCTGCGGCACCAGCACCCCGGGTTCTAGTCCTGGTTGGGGAGCCAGATTCTGTCCCAGTTGCTCCTCTTCCAGTCTTCTACTGCTTCCCCAGGCCACAGCAGAGAGCTGGATCAGAAGTGGAGCAGTCAGGGCTCAAACCAGCATCCATATGGGATGCCAGCACTGCAGGCGGTGGCCCCTTATTACTGAACCACATTAGTTAGGCCGGAATTTCCACTCCCATGCCCTGGTCTAAACCTTATCATTTCCCAAGATCCCACCAGCCACCTTCGTCATGCTGGGAGTTTGAGATTCAGGATGTGAGTCTGGGGACACATCCAGTCCTTAACAAAAGGGAACAGGATGTGGAGAAAGGGGAGGTGACCCTACAGTGTCCCTACAGCCAGGGACAGACACCAACCAGAGAATGCTGGGTGAGCAAGGACTGAGTGGGGGCCTGGTGAGGAGGGGGGCTTCTCTCCCTCACAACTCTGTAGCAGCCAGGGACCCCGGGGTGCTCGCCCTGGACTTTCCCCCAACAATAGACAATGGGGAGGACCTCACCCAGGTGTCCCCAGCCCCCACCTCTTCCACGCCTCCTGCAGGCCACAGAGCTGAGCTGCCTGTGCGAAGGTGACAGGTCCAGACTTGAGTTTCCCTTGAGCAGAGGCGGGCGGGCGGGCCTCGCCCCGGGAGGGTTACATCGAGTGACAGTTTCAGGGAGGGGCGTTCGTTGTTGGTTCTGCTTTCGTCTTGATATCTTCCATTTGCCTTTAATTCTCCATTTAAGAAACAGCTGGATCTGGGGGAGTTAATTATTGAACAGCATCAGCTTTTCAAAAGAAAAGTTTAAATAATTAAAAATACTCAGATCTCTCCTTCCATCCACGCCTAGGGTCTCAGGGCTGAGAGAAGCAAGAAAAAGTCCAGATAGAGAATTAAAAAAAAAAAAAAAAACTGAGCTAATTCCTCCGCCCAGAGCACTGCCCCACCAACCCTGGACCTTCCCACCTGGGAATTCCTCCAGCCCTGGAGTTTGCCACACACACTGGTCAGCGCCGGCTGCCTTAACAAACACACAGGCTGGGCAATTTCTTTCTTTTTTTTTTTTTTTATTAGAGAGAGAGACAGAGAGAAAGGTCTTCCTTCCGTTGGTTCACCCCCGAGATGGCCGCTACGGTCGGCACTGCGCCGATCCGAAGCCAGGAGCCAGGTGCTTCTTCCTAGTCTCCCATGCGGGTGCAGGGCCCAAGCACTTGGGCCATCCTCCACTGCCTTCCCAGGCCACAGCAGAGAGCTGGACTGGAAGAGGAGCAACCGGGACAGAACCCGGTGCCTCAACCGGGACTACAACCGGGGGTGCTGGCACCACAGGCAGAGGATTAGCCAAGTGAGCCGCAGCGCTAGCCATGGCTGGGCAATTTCAGTGACAGAAGTTCACTCCTGGGACAACACCCACATCCCACGTGGGCACCGATTCAAGACCCAGCTGCTCCGCTTCCAATGCAGCTCCCTGCTAATGCACCTGGGAAAGCAGCCCAAGATGTCCCAAGTCCTTGGGCCCCTGCACCCACGTGGGAGACCTGGATGGAGTTCCAGGATCCTGGCTCAGCCTGACCCATTCCAGGCTGTTGCAGCCATTTGGGGAGTGAACCAGCAGATGGAAGATCTCTCTGTCTCTCTCTCTGATGTTCTGATGTTTCTTTTTAGAAAGAATCCTGGGGCCGACGCCATGGCTCAATAGGCTAATCCTCCGCCTTGTGGCGCCAGCACACCGGGTTCTAGTCCCAGTCGGGGCGCCGGATTCTGTCCCGGTTGCCCCTCTTCCAGGCCAGCTCTCTGCTGTGGCCAGGGAGTGCAGTGGAGGATGGCCCAAGTGCTTGGGCCCTGCACCCCATGGGAGACCAGGAGAAGCACCTGGCTCCTGGCTTCAGATCAGTGCAATGCGCCGGCAGCAGCGCGCTGGCCATGGCGGCCATTGGAGGGTGAACCAATGACAAAAGGAAGACCTTTCTCTCTGTCTCTCTCTCTGTCTCTCTCTCTCACTGTCCACTCTGCCTGTCAAAAAAATAAATAAATAAAATTTAAAAAGTAAAAAAAAATAAAAAACATAGAAAGAATCCTGGGATTCCTGGGTCACACTGACAAGCAGCCTCTGTGTGGCCCCTCACAGCGCTGGGTGGGTTCTATGCACTGGCGGGGAGCAGTGTCCCTGCCGAGTGCCAAGAGGCAGTACAAAAGCTCTGAGTTCTGTGGACGCCAGCATCTCGCCCCAGGAGGGGTCCATGGCCGCCGTCAGATTGTGCCTGCTCCAGAGCTCCCGGCTGCCACCCCTCTTTCCGTCTTTCTGTCCCTTTAAGCACCATTCCCCCTTAGCGCATCCTCGCTGGCACAACCCAGGTTCGCCATCTGAGCCCTCCGTCACCCAAGAGAAGCCAGCGTGTTCCTGTCTCCAGAACTCTATCCACACCGTTTCTGCCAAACCACTCCAAGAGCTCAGCCCAGCTTATCCTGTGAGGTTGACGTCACCCTGCCGCTTCTCAAAGATTCCTGCCTGGCCTCCTAGTCCACAGGCACGCGCTGGCCCCGTGCCCGGGGCTATCTGGGCAGGAAGGGAGATGAGCACTCACGTGTGACGAGCATTGTGCCAGCAACCTTAATATTGGGAAAATTCTGGGAAGTCGGCACTGTGCCCGGTCACTGATGCTTGGAGCCAGCAGGCACAAGCCTCTGATGGACTAGAGTCCAAACCTACGTCTCCTGTGCAGACCCAAGCCCATCCCAAGTTACCACCCGCCCCCCACCATCGTCTCCCACCCCTGTGAGCTCCCAGAGGGCAGAGTCGTCCCTGAGCCCACCCAGAAACGCCATCATTCATCCCCACCAACCCCTCCAGGAAAATCAACCAACTGATGCGACCCCCAGCAGCCTGCGGCTCCTCCCACTGCAGGAAGCAAGGCTGCAGGACAGTCGTGCCTGCCGTGTGCGGGATTCTGACCCTGACCCTCACACTCACCAGATGTGGACGTGGAAGCCGCAGCTGCCTCTTCAGGTGACTGTGTCACTCTGCATTTCCTGTGCTCGTGGCAAACGTGGGAATTCATGACGACCGGCCAGCCCACCTGAGCAACATCCCGGGATTCCTCGGCATCACAAGCCCCAGCCTTTCTCGGAAGCCGTCTGGTGTAAAGGAGACATAAATAACGATTAAGACAACAAAGAAATAAATAGGTGAGGCCTGTCCTTCGGCAAATAGGCGCACGCATCATTAAGTAACCAGCTGGGCAGACGAGCCCGGAAAGAGCCACGCAGGGAAATGCCAAGTTCAGGTTTGCGCTGAGCGGGACGGGGTCTGTTTTCTGTTGCTATAACAACAGAACGCAGCGGCTGGATAAACTGTTTATGTGGCCCACGGCTCTGGAGGCTGGGAAATCCTAAGTCTTTGCCTGGAGAAGGGTGGGGCCACGGAGCAGAGCGGGGCTGACTATGATCGGAGACCTCTCCCCTGACGACAGCATTAACCTGTTCACGAGATCACCTCTTACGGGTCCCTTAGCACCGTCACAGGGACTATCAAGTTTCAATGTGATAGGGCCAGCGCTGTGGTACAGTGGGTTAACGCCCTGGCCTGAAGAACCAGCATCCCATATGAGCACTGGTTTGAGACCCAGCTGCTCCACTTCTGATCCAGCTCTCTGCTGTGGCCTGGGAAAGCAGTGGAAGATGGCCCAAGTCCTTGGGTCCCTGAACCCATGTGGGAGACCCGGAAGAAGCTCCTGGCTTCTGGCTTCGGATTGGCACAGCTCCGGCCATTGTGGCCATCTGGGGAGTGAACCATCAGATGGAAGACCTCTCTCTTTCTCTCTCTCTCTCTCTCTATTCCTCTCCTCTCTCTGTGTAACTCTGACTTTCAAATAAATAAATAAAGCTTTTTAAAAAAGTTTCAATGTGACTTTTAGAGGGGATCATTCAGACTAGAGTAGACACACTGCAAGTCGGACTCCTCTCTCTCTCTCTCTCTCTCTCTCTCTCTCTCTCTCGGTCTCCCCTGCCCCTGATTTCCAAACTCGCGGGAGGAAGGTGCTCAGAGCTTGGTGACAGCTGCAGGTTGTGGCTCTGGAGGGTCAGCAGTGGCTTCACTCACAGGCGTCTCAGCCTTGGGACCAGGCCAGCCTCAGGCCTCCCAATGCAGGTGGACGGTGACGACACTCAGAAATCGTCCCCTGCAGGTTCCCGTAGCGACAGGAGGAGCTGGACACGGCCCAGGGTTACTCTCTGTGGCAGCCCTGGGAAGCTGACCCTGCCCCCAGCAGCCATCAGCGTGCTGGGGGACTTTGAGACCTCAGCCGCTAGACCTGTAGATGACACAGATGCAAAAAGAGGTTGGCGACTTTCACAAGAAGCGCTGAACACGAGTCGGACAGCAAAGGCTCCACACTGGACAAGACCACAGGCACAGGCTCGGGTCACAGCGGCGGCTCCGCTGAGCAGAGCACAGGGACGGGGAAGGTGTGCGGGCTGCAGCCGCTGCCCCACCCGCCTCGTCCTGGCGGCCGGGTGCTGTGCTCACAACGGGGAGCTCCCTGGAGCACAGCACTTTGGGGGGGCAGGTATTGGATTTCAGTAAACAGCTTCAAGGAACTGCCCTGGGGGCCGGCACTGTGGTGCAGTGAGCTAAGCCTCCGCCTTTGATGCCTGCATCCCATAAGGGCGCCAGTTTGAGTCCCGGCTGCTCCTCTTCCCATCCAGCACTGTAGCCCAGCCTTGGGAGGGAACAGCTATGCCTGCAGAATCCGCTTCCGCCACCCGCGACCTCCATGCGCATGGCCACTCCCCTCTCTCACTTCAGAGGGACTCCATGGCAGCCCACCGCTCCTCAGCGACACTGGAACTGCAGAGACAGGCACGAGCAGCAGCCGGTGGGCTCCGGGTGTGCCTCATACCCACAAGGCCTGGGCGAGGCCTCAGGCCGCGGGCTGCCCATCACTCTAATAGCCGTGAGCAAGTGTCCCGGGCGCTGATGTTCAACGCTGAAGTCCTAGCCCCTGGGGCCTCCGGTGCCCTTCTCCACGAATGGAGCCACTGTCAGGAGGTCACAGCGCAGTGGGGTGGGGCCTGGCCCGTCACGCCTGGTGTCCCTGTAAGAAGAGATGCGGATGCCAGCACACAGGGGGAGAAGGCGCTGTCTGCAGGCCGAGGAGAGAGGCCTCAGGGGAAGCCAGCCCCGCCGCCACCTTGACCTTGGTCTTGCTGCCCCGCCTCCACCTTGATCTTGGTCTTGCTGTCCCGCCTCCACCTTGATCTTGGTCTTGCTGTCCCGCCTCCACCTTGACCTTGGTCTTGCTGCCCCGCCGCCACCTTGACCTTGGTCTTGCTGTCCCGCCTCCACCTTGACCTTGGTCTTGCTGTCCCCCACAGACGTGGGGGGGGGGGCGGATCAGACACGTAGGGGATTTCCTGAAGCAAAGGCAGCACGTCACCACCATCCAGAAGTGTCGCCCACCACAGCTGCTTTTTCCAAAAATGAATCCTTGCCTGTAACCTTGTGGCGCTGGTGCCACATTCTGCCGGCCGCCAGAAGCCATTGGAATCGCTAGGAGCCAGGATCGCATCTGTAGCGGGTCCCCCCACCGGGCGGGCTCCTGGGTCGTGATCCTGAGTTGTCGGCATCCCTGTGGCTCCACACAGACGGGCCGGGGAAGGCTGCTCCCACCCTGGTCCCCGACTTGCGGCTCCATCACGAAGGCGGTCATTTTCAGCGTGGCTCCTTCTCACAGAGCTGTAGTTGGGCCCCGCACGAGTCGAGTGACCCCCAAACAGAGATGGAATAGAGCAAGTGCAGCTGCCAGAGATGTGTTTCCTCAGGCTGGCACGGAGCCTACGAGGGACACCCTGTGTCGGAACCCCGCTGAACCTGAACTTGAGGGACGCGTGACCAGCGGCTCCGCGGGGTACACCTGCACGGGCGTGGGCACCACACCTGGCTCCTCTCCTGACTCAGCCCGCTCCTCCTGCCTCACTCCCGCAGGCACAGTCTCTCAGTCCCTGTTGGTGTTGCTGCCACCTCACACTTTCTTTAGGGCAAAGGCTGAGAAGGGAAACAAGAAAGAGAAAACACTAGGCGTTAGCGTGAGCATCAAAAGAACTCACTCCTGGGCCTTGGGACCCACGTTACCCCAGTAAGATCTCATCTGGTTCCATCTCCAAAGACTCAACACCCGGCCGGCGCCGCGGCTCACTAGGCTAATCCTCCGCCTTGCGGCGCCGGCACACCGGGTTCTAGTCCCGGTCGGGGCGCTGGATTCTGTCCCGGTTGCCCCTCTTCCAGGCCAGCTCTCTGCTGTGGCCAGGGAGTGCAGTGGAGGATGGCCCAAGTGCTTGGGCCCTGCACCCCATGGGAGACCAGGAGAAGCACCTGGCTCCTGTCATCGGATCAGCGGGGTGCCCCGGTTGGGGGGGCCATTGGAGGGTGAACCAACGGCAAAAGAAAGACCTTTTTTTCTCACTGTCCACTTGCCCGTTCATAAAAAAAAAAAAAAAAAAAAAAAAAAAAAAAAAAAAAAAACAGTATCACTCGTGATTAATTAGGCCGTTCAGGTTAACTGGCTGCCTCTCCCCACACCATGCTTTACCGAAGACATGGAGCCATTTATCCTGTTGGGCAAGACTTTGAAAAAAAAGACTGTTTGCCTCGCAGCTTCCCAGGCACTGAGCTAGACAGACACCTGTCCCCTTCCCCTACTCACCAGCTTTGCCTTCGAACAGCTCCTGCTTGTCCCCAAAGATCAAATTGCTCCCACCAAAGAACACAGACTTCCCTCTCCCACTCGCCTGCAGAATCTTTAGGGACTAGCATTTGGCGAAGCAGCTGAGGTCACGCCTGGGACTGCCTGCGTCCCACATCACAGCGCCTGGTTCCAGCTCTGACTTTCTGTTTCCAATCAGCTTCCTGTTCACGTGCATCCTGGGAGCCCACAATGCCAGCTCAAGTCCTTAGGTCTATGCCACTCATGTGGAAGACAGGATTGAGTTTTAGGCTCCTGGCTTGGGCCTGGTCCAGCCCCATATGTTGTAGACATTTGGGGAGTGAGCCAGTGGATGAAAGGTATCTCTCTCAGGACCAGCGTTGTGGTACAGTGGGTTAAGCCACCGCCTGCAAGGCCGGCATCCCATATGAACTCTGGTTAGAGTCCGGGCTGCTTCACTTCTGATCCAGGTCCCTGCCAGTGCACCTGAGAAAGTAGCAGGAGTCTCAGGCGCTTGGGCCCTGCTACCTACGTGGGAGACCCAAATGTGGTCCAAGCTCCTGGTTTCGGTCTGGCCCAGCCCCAAATGTTGCAACCATTTAAGAGTGAACCAGTGGATGGGAGCTCTCTTTCTTTCTCTGTCTCTCCACTTCTCTCTGTAACTCTGCCTTTCAAATAAATAAATGAGTCTTTTTATAAAAAAAAAAAATGATTATCAATGCCGGAGCTGTGGCATAGTGGGTAAAGCTGCTGCCTGCAGTGCCCGCATCCCATATGGGCACCGGTTCGAGTCCTGACTGCTCCACTTCCAATCCAGCTCTCTGCTATGGCCTGGGCAAGCAGTAGAAGATGCCCAATTCCTTGGGCTCCTGCACCCACGTGGGAGACCTGGAGGAGGTTCCAGGCTCCTGGCTTTGGATCGGCCCAGATCTGGCCAATGCAACCATTTGGGGAATGAACCAGCAGATGGAAACACAACCTCTCTGTCTCTCTCTCTGCCTCTGTAATTCCACCTTCCAAATAAAATCTTTAAAAAGGAAAAAAAAAGATTCTCACTCACTCTCTTTCCCTTTCAAATAAAAATGAAAATACATAATTTTGTAAAAGACTCTTTAGCTGTGCCAACACACAAGTGTGCATGTTTAACACACAGGGATGGACTCTCCAAAGATCACAAAATTTGTGTGGGAGGCTGCCGCCACGGCTCACTAGGCTAATCCTCCACCTGTGGCGCCGGCACACCAGGTTCTAGTCCCGGTCGGGGCGCCGGATTCTGTCCCAGTTGCCCCTCTTCCAGTCCAGCTCTCTGCTGTGGCCCGGGAGTGCAGTGGAGGATGGCCCAGGTGCTTGGACCCTGCACCTGCATGGGAGACCAGGAGAAGCACCTGGCTCCTGCCATCGGATCAGCGCGGTGCGCCGGCCGCAGCACGCCGGCCGCAGCACACCGGCCACAGCGGCCATTGGAGGGTGAACCAACGGCAAAGGAAGACCTTTCTCTCTGTCTCTCTCTCACTATCCACTCTGCCTGTCAAAAAAAAGTGACCACTTTTATCCCGCCGACTTCCATGGTCAGCTGGCCATCAGGTTGAGCACGTCCGCTCCCTGAGTGACCACTTTGAGGGCCAGCTCATCGCGGGGCCCGATGTCAACCCCGTAGATGGCCAGGAGTCCCCTGGCACTCTGCCGTGACTCATCCCTGAGGGTGATGTGGCTAAGACACAGTAGAGGCTGGTGGGACAAACGCGGTTGATGATACCTCTCAAGGGTTCTAGAAGACGCTCTGTCTGGGGAGCTGTAGGAGAGGCCTCCCCAGTGCACCCCAAATATGCACCT